CTTACCAGCTGCACACAGCTCTCCAAGCTGCTGGGCTGTACTCCTCACTGCCTGAGTGCTGTGCTGTGGTTGCATGCACGCATGGGCATTTATCAGCCAAATTACTGGCCACATCAGGCCATTTTCCAATATAGTCAATTTTCTTTTTATCTGTGCCGATTGAGTATCGGACTGATATATCTGTGCACTTCTAAAATCCAGTTACATTTTCCAGCAAATAAGTCCCTGGTGCTATTGCAGGTAGAGTTCCAAGAGCAATTTCAGTACTCATAAACACATCAAGAGGATGAGATTATTCCCAAACCTGTTTGAAACAGATATTGGCATGGCCTCTCTTTTGTAAAGGTAAATTCCACAACCCAAGTTGCATTTGGATGTGCCACAAAATATATATCCAAGCTTGTAAATGATCTGTAGTATTAGTGCTTGAACAGATTTTTAAATAAAGATCTTGATCTCAGTTATAACTTGCAGCCAACAGACTAAGACTTTAAACCCAAACTTGAAGATGTTGGTTAATCATACAACCTGATGAAAACTTTCTTAGCGGAGAACCAGTGGAGTATTCTTATGAAATAACCAGTTTGCAGTGTTTAGTTTAAGGAATTTCAAGCCTTTGTAGGCCAACTTATTTTTGCAACTAGTTCCTAGCTTGTTTATAGTTATGTCACATGTTAGTGGAGTTTAGGCTCCTACGTGCTTTGGACAGCTAGATCTGGCCTGCTACTAGAAAAAGGGTTGGGGACCCTGATCTTGCTGAAATGAGCACAGCATACAGAGGCAGGAGGTCCTGTCTTCCAATGTTGTCTTTACTGTGGGCTTATTTTGTAGCCTGGGATGAGTCACTTTATCTTTTTGTGTCCTTTCTATCTGTAAAAGGCAAATATTTGCTCAAGTTTTTTTTTTTGAAAAAATGTAAATGCCTGTGTGGAACAAATTAACTTTTTTCTTATAAAGAAATCTTTATTTTGATACAAGGGAAACAAGACTTTAAGCTATCTTGTTTTTTTAAAAAGACTATTGTACTGCCTAGCACAATGGAATTGTGGCCTGGGCTTCCTGTAGTCCATGAGATCAGACTTTGCTTCTTCCAGGTTTAGAACTGGAGCAGTTTTGCTGAATTTGAATTCTTTTCAACTCATTTACACAACAATTAGAACATACCAGCTACTGCTCTTTTGAAATGTTCCCTTTCTGAAAGTGCTCTGAATGTGTCCACACCCTAAAATACAATTTAATTGACACTATTTTGTGGATGACTTCAGTAGACCCATCCTGACCAGATTCTTATGCGATATTCTGAAACTGCCTCCCAGGTTTGAAGTCTCAGAGCAGTCTCCTTCATAAAACCTTTGGTTCCCTCAGTGACTCTCATGATGCACTTTGGGTATAACCTAGTGCAAGGGTGGGCAAAATGCGGCCCATAGGCTGGATGTGGCCTGCCAAGTCATTCTATCTGGCCCGCAGGGCCCCTAAAAATTTTAGAAAATTTATATTAATCTGCCCTGGGCTGCCTGTCA